TAACTGTGCGGAGGAGGAGGTAACAATTACCTTTTTAAACATTGTTTCACATATATAGATTAGCTGTATAAAGAACTGAGTTGTGGGTGAAAACAAGGCCACTTCTATCTGTAATGCAGAAGTCTAATGAGGAAGTGAACTGGACCACTGAGTTTACTCTTATGAAAAGGTCCTCTTTACTATTATTATTCTGGAAAAGCCCCAAAATAACTTCTGTTTTTCAGAAATGTTAACAAAGAGAGTTAAGTGAAGTGGTTTACAAAACCTTGTTTTGTGAGCAAAAAGATGAATATATGTTTGAGTTCCTTCATTTTGGTTCTATAATTGAAGAGGTTTTCATTCCTACACACAGCATAAAACAGGGTGGCACAAACAAACCCTAGAGACGTAATATCTTCTTGTGACCATTATCATACCTACAATCATAGCATATTTTTTCTAACAAATGGTTGACTTCACACATGCTAGTTTCACAGGCTAAGCTACAGATTAAGACCATGAGTTATTTATGTGTAAATGTGGGTTATCATGGCTTCCGTCACTTCATACACCTATGTGGTTTCCATTATGACTGCTTGAACATTATAGACTACACAGCAAGAAAGCTCCTTACATACCCAAGAACCAGCTGAAACCATATTGTGTTACAGAATAATTTTTGTGCTGGACTAAATTATTACTGATGTTTTACATTGGAAATCCATGTAAACACACATTTACTTATCTTAGTTTATTTATCTAAATGGTGACAAAAGACTTCTAAAGGTTTGAAATTATTAATAGACTACACTACCATTAAAATGTTTGGGGTTAGTAAGATATATTTTTTTATTTATTTGTACAGTAATATAGTAAAATATTATTACAATTTAAAATGTTTTCTATTTGAATATATTTTAAAATGCAATTTGTTCCTGTTATGCAAGCTGAATTTTCAGCATCATTACTCCAGTCTTCAGTGTCACATGATCCTTCAGAAATCATTCTAATATGCTGATTTGCTGCTCAAGAACCATTTCTTATCAATGTTGAATACAGATGTGCTGCTTAATATTTTTGTGAAAACCATCATATATTCTTTTCATGATTCTGTGATGAGTAGAAAGTTCAAAATAACAGTATTTATTGAAATAGAAATCGTGTAACATCATAAATGTCTTTACTGTCACTTTTGATTAATGTGTCCTTGCTGAATAAAAGTACTTATTTCTTTAAAATAAGTAAATCTCACTGACCTCACACTTCCTAACTCTAACCTCAAATGAAAACTCACATTTTTAGTATTATGAAAGATCGTAAGTTAACCCACTTTAAAGGCTTTTCACAAATTAGGACATACCTGAATGTCCCCAAACTGATGTTTAATCACACATTTCCGGGGGACAATTATATCCAAGTACACACACACACACACACACAAAGAAAACAGTAGGGTATTTACTTCCTTTGGTGTTTGCAAAAACAAAAAGGAAGAAAAAAAAAAGTTTACAAATGCTTCTGTTTATTAATATGCTGACAGAAAACTATTAATAATTCTAATAACTCACTGAAATGCATTTCTAATAAATAGCAATACAGTGCAGACCTCAATTCACACTTCACTGATATTAAAAAGAAAATAAAAGCATGTCAATGAGATGAACTTGAACAGAGGCACAGAAATAAAACCCACAAAACATGACATGTGACAGAAACAAATAAAAGTTGCTTTATTTGCAGATGAAGTCTGAAATGGAAGTGAAAGCCACACCAGCTTCTGCTGACATTTTAATCTAAAAAAACAAACAAAAAACTTTTGATATCATTTTGTTTTCCTTACAAAGCACATCTTATAGAAAGGAAACTTGATGAGGCCATTGGAAAATAAAATAAAAGAGGACAAAGCACTACTGGAATATTTGCATCAGAGCTGCACAACATGTAAGTCTGCTTGGGTTAAAACATGACAACATTTCCAAGGACTCCATCACACAACGACTTTCTTGGAATGTCTCAAAATGTTACTCAACAGAATATAAATTCCATGCACACACACACACAAAATATGTTTCAAAAATGCTTCACTCAATCTTCACTCAACCTCTGCTACATCAAACTGAGTGAGGCACTTACAAAGATATCATTAGCTAGCTTGACAGATATATGGATCACTCGAATCAGAAAGAAGGTGAAGGCTATAATGACGGCGATGGACGACTGCGGGAGGTTTTATCTCAAGCATGTTTGTTTGCAGCATGTGGGATGCTCAGTATTGATTGGGTGAATTCACGTTTTAAACAGTTTATTGTACAGGTAGTAAGTCTCCGCTCTAAACTAATGTGCTGCTACATTGCTGCACACGCGCACACAGATCAGGAGTGTAGAAAATGGTCAACGCTGTCCTGTGATTTATCAGCTTAAAAATGGAAAAGTTACAGCATATTCTTTCTGTTTCTGAAGTAACTACAGCAACTCAGCGTCGCCATAGTAGAGAGATGCTGCACAGACAAGCAAGTTTATTACCTTTATTTAACCAGGAAGAAAACTCATTGAGATTAAAAATCTCTTTTTCAAGAGTGTCCTGGCGAGTTAAACAGTTATTTAATATAGACTTGGGCTAATTGGAGTGTTCCAATAAACCACATTAAAACTATTATTCTCGCATAGTGTATTTATTTTTCGTTAAATATAAGTTCTGAACAGAACTTTGTGGTATTTCAAAACATATTGAAATATTTTAGCCACATATTTCATCATGGAGAGAAGGCACAGCGGTGTTTCTGAGAAATTGTTGCCGCTCCACTCCGCTCACATACTGTAATTCAGACCATGCGACTTTCTGTTTCAGGTAAACCTTGATAAATCTCTCATAAGCCCTTAACATCTAGTCACAAATCACCCATTCACAATGTGTAGAATATAGACAGATGAAGATACACATCACTACAAACTAATAATAAATCAGTATGTCTCTACTGACACAACCAGTTATCAAAGACATCCAGCACAGCATGAAATGAAACAATCTCCATCTGCAGCATCAGAGCCAAGAACCAGACATTCAGTAATAGTGGTTATGACTCGTTCTGTTTACTGAGGCAAAGCACCAGACAACTTTAGCATGAAACTCAAATGATAGTTACACACAGGAATTATACCACAATTTGTGCAATTACTTTTCAAAATGTTCAGACAAACCAACTTCTGTCTGGTGTAGGCTATTTTAAAATGGGTGAAAAAAAGCTATCAAATCTAGCGAGCAGAAAATCATAACATTTCATACAGACTCCCATTGTTTCCTAACTGTACAACAACGCATTTTCCATTTTTCATGTCTTTTCTCGCTTCCACAATTATATTTCAGTCTGCTATAGGCATTTACTCATGGAGTGATCCAACATAAAGTATGACACCTCCAATGACTGTTCAACCACTATGTTCTGTAATGTCAAACCTGAGCACTTTGTGTGTAAGAGACTTCAGAAACTCAAGTCCACTCAAAAGCCTTGTGAAAAAATAGCTTAAGATAGTTTCAATGAATCATGAAACTTGGCACAAACTAGTGTTTGTCGCAAACAACCCAATTTTCTTTTCCAAACTACAGCCATGTTTTTCACAAAAAGAAAAAAAGAACAGACTCCCATTGTTTCCTAACTGTACAACAACGCATTTTCCATTTTTCATGTCTTTTCTCGCTTCCACAATTATATTTCAGTCTGCTATAGGCATTTACTCATGGAGTGATCCAACATAAAGTATGACACCTCCAATGACTGTTCAACCACTATGTTCTGTAATGTCAAACCTGAGCACTTTGTGTGTAAGAGACTTCAGAAACTCGTCCACTCAAAAGCCTTGTGAAAAAATAGCTCAAGATAGTTTCAATGAATCATGAAACTTGGCACAAACTAGTGTTTGTCGCAAACAACCCAGTTTTCTTTTCCAAACTACAGCCATGTTTTTCACAAAAAGAAAAAAGAAAACAGGAAGTTAAAGATGTTGTTTATCACTTCCATCGAGACTAGGGAGGTGAGATACCAGTGATACCAGTGCCAACTTGAACATCCTCCACAATTTTTTTTTGTCATTGCCGGCCATAATTAGGGGAAAGCTGTATCTCCTACCCCACCCAAGAAAATGTGTGGTGTGTTATGTCATTGTATATTCAAGTACAAAATTGTGTCATTAAAAATCTTAATGTGACACAGTTTGTTTATTTTGAAAGTTTTAAAAGCTTTATTCAACAGTGAAAAGCCACTGTTTTTTGTTTAAATTCAAAAGAATGAGATCATGTTAAATAAATGAAATAAAATAATAAAAATACTTCCATAAAATAAATTGCTTTAGGTAGCATGACTTTTTGTTTTTAAACAAAATATTATTTTGTCACACTATTTTTTTTCCATTTCATTTGATAATTGCAATATTAACAATTGACAGCCCCCCCCGTTTCATATTATCAGTCACTCAAGGCTGTTTATTTAATGACTTGGGTATCGATTTAGTATTGATACAGAGGTAGGTACCAGAGGCTTGTACTGTACTAAAGCCAAATTTCTGGTATTGATCCAACCCCATGGTGATGACGTCACCTGTCACAGCGGATCCCTCTCCCACTGAGAGATAATGGCACAGATATGCTAATCCTGCACTGGATGTGCTGACAAGATTAAACACATCTAAAAATAGCTGGACTGTGTCAAAGCACTCGCCAGCAGGAAATAGCCTGACAATTCCGCATAATGCCATTTGCCAATATTAAAACAAGATGGAGAGAGAACATGCATGAAGAATCACAGAAACATGTCTATTGACATTTTCTTTTTCTCAATATTTTATTATTATATTGTTATTTAGAATTTTTTGTCTATTCTCTTTATTATTAGTGTTTTTATTACCTTAAATTATATGCATGTCTGCACTATGTTTGTACTTTCTGTACTGGAAGCTCCTGACACCAAGACTTCCTTGTGTGTGTAAACACACTTGGCAATTTCTGAAACACGCATATACACACACACTTACAGTTTGAGAACAGCTGATCGCTTGCCAAGCATCATTTTCACAAAGTCCCTGTAGTTGATGGTGTCGCTGCAACCTCCTGTCACCTCGGAGATCATTTTCTTCATCTCCAGATGAGTCTTTGGCACACCCAACTTCTCCATCATTCGCTTCAAGCCCATCATGTCTGCAAAGGAAACACACACATACACAGCCATCATCACACAAACAAACAACAGTGAACTACTACAAACAGACTCTTACAGCTTGACAAGTAGATCCCTAATAAAGGTGGGATGGCTGACTAATTGTTTACCAATGAACTAGTCTATTACTGAGGTCAGTATTTAGCCTGTATATTTGTTGAATATCTGGCATTAACCTTGTTGAAGGGCTGCATAGTACAAACGCAGACGGATGTCTTTGGCTGTTGGTTTGTGTTTTAAGTGAAGTATCAAGTTAAAAATAGTCTTGAAATAACTTGTCAATACCCCTACTTTTTGTGTGAGAGTCCCCTAAGAGAGAGTCTGATTTGGTGTACATGACCCAAAAATAAGAGTAATTATACAGGATTTACTTACAACCGACTAGTTTGGCACAATCTTTTGTGTGAGAGTCCCCTAAGAGAGAGTCTGATTTGGTGTACATGACCCAAAAATAAGCGTAATTATACAGGATTTACTTACAACCGACTAGTTTGGCACAATCATAATGCTCACAGAAATGCATTCTGAAGATAACACCACATACATGTATGTCCTCAGGGCTGATACAACACCAAGCATACTACCATAGAGTAGAGCTACACAGAGCTGTCAGTGTTCATCTCTCCACACCATTTGCATTAGTGGAATGATTTTCTCCTCACTGTGTATTCAATTTTTGTGTCCCACATTATACAGTACGCCTCTCTCTCATAAAAACATACTTACTTGCTATCACAAACTACACATTTTTACAAGTATCCCATGAATCGCCCTCTAAAGTGCCCTTATTTCTGTGGCACACACTTCAGCTGATGGATTTACAATCAAGATAAGGGCCTATGCCACTTTACCCCAACATCTTATGTGGGCAAGCCTTCCATTTGCATAAAAAGGCATGTTATACATTTCTGAATGAAAAAGAATGGGAAAACAGCACAGCTTGTCATCGTGATTTGACTGCATTGTTGTTAATCATAATAAAATATATGAAATATATTTTTATTATTTCTGTAATATTATTAATGTTATTAATCCCCACCTGTGCTGTGTTTATGCCATCTGCAAAGTTGCTTTAAATGCACAGTAAGTCATACATTTTGACGCATGTTTGCATTCATGCAGTGATTAATCATGCACAGTGAGACCAGACAGTTCCGGTGTTATTATTCAGGTAAGGTGCTATAAAGACTGACTTAACTTGCTTAAGATTTGAAACTGTTGCTCAATTTTTGCTCCCCCACAGCAACTTGAATATTTTAGGGCAACAAACAACAAGCTTAAAGATTTGAATTCATAAGGTGTTCTTTTTGTATTTTCCTTTTTATTTACAATTTTTTTTAATCTCCACCATGACTCACTCCTACTCTTTCTACAGCACATGATAGTGACCTTTAAGTTGGTTACAGGTGAGTTCTCATGTTTCCCATCTGTCAAGTGTGGTATCACCTACACAGTGAACATGACAAAAGAGCCCTTCCCCTCTAACATTCACAAAGTCTTAAATACATATGCGCACACACACACACACACACTTACCGATCTCTCCCTGATCGTTCAGGTCAAACTCGGCATATTTATCTGTGGATTGTAAAAACAAGTGATATTTTAATAGATATTTTAATAGCACAAACACACACAATCGCCAGCAACATCTGACAGTGGCAGCACTAGATCTATAGGTCAGGCATGTGACAGCTGCGGTTCAGAGGGAAACAACAGAGAGGACGTTTGAAAAACCCAGCATTTCTCTGCGTTTTTTTTTTTTTTTTTAAATCCGAAATGAAGCCTATTTCACAAAGGATGGCTGGCTATATCTGTAAATGAGGACATCTACCAGATTTGAATCCTTGTCCTATTTGATTTTGCTGGATTATTCTACTACTTCCTCTTTCTCAATCTGTGTCGTTTCATTCTCACAATGAGGCTTCTGTCAGAGTGGACACATTGAGGATGAGAGTGTAACGGAGTCATCGTGAGAGGAGGCTGATGGGAAGGAGAGGGTTACAATGGCCCCCTATGAACACAAACGCAGCCTGTTCACCTCCGAGCTCAATGAGTGCGTGTGAAACATAGCTGGCAAGAGAGGTCATCCGTTGAAATGCACTGACACTGCCTAAATGTAACTCAATTTTCACTGACTGAATCACTCTCTCGAAATGTCTTTTTTTGGATGGTGATACCTCTTATTCTCAACACTATTCTTTTTCTCCTAACTCTCTCATTTAATTTATGGTTTTAGGGCAGCGGTGTACACACATAATGACATTAGTGGGCCAAACACTGCGGCAAGTGCTCCGACTGTATGTGTGTGTGTGAGCATGTGCCTTCATTTCAACCATGTCAAGAGAAATCTCAAAGGTTTGGTGCTCCTCCTGTCCCTTGTGCTTTTGACTTCTGTCCTTTCCATCTTTCCATTTTCTCACTTTGTTTAACAAGAAATCATTGAAACATTCAGAGCCACTTAACCCCTATAACCTGATCACTGCCTCTTGATAATGACCCACAAACCCAAGCGTACACACTGAGGACGGCTGGTAGTAAATAATTCAGAGTTAAAGGAGGCCCTTGGGTCTAAAGTTAACATGAAACATGTCTTGCAATCCATTTAAAAAAAACACAAAAAAACCCTGACATATTTCTGACTGAAACAGGATATTCAAAGGAGGAAAAACGTAGAGCAGACTAGACTGGATTGTGAAAAGTGGGCGGATGGAGGGCAGGGGTTGAAAAGTAAGAGGAACTCAGTCAGCCAAAAAGGAAAGTTGTTTCAGATAAGGATACACTGTTATTAAAAATTTTGGCTGACACAGATAAGCAGATGTTATGGCCGATAACCAATAAAATAGCTTATAATAAAACTTCACACTATTTTGTCTAAATACATTAACCCACTCAAACCTAAAATAAATTCTTTTAAATGCTACAAGTGAATGTAAGCATAACATTATATTGTACAGTAAAAATGGATATTAATTTTGAGATTTGTTAAGATTGCATTTAACAGTGTTTTTAAAGATAAACTAAGTGAGCATTAGATGACGGCAAAGATTGCCTAAATGTAAAAAACAGAAATTATATAGTGATTTTAACTGACATCGTATTGTGAATTTCTCAACTTTTCAAGCGCCAATGGAGGTGTCAGCCAATCAGATCGCTTTATGCAAATACACTAGCTCAGGCACTAGCCAATTGCGGTCCAATGTAATTGGCTGTTATCACTATGACGATCGCGTCAGAGCCAAGCTTCAGACATGCCCTCCGTCAATTGTTGACGCCAACGCCCTGTGTGAATCTAGCGTAAATATTGACTTTAAACTTCATGGGTCATCTTTTGAGCAGCATTAACATTAGAAAGAGAGGGAAGATGACTTCCGGATTCAGGTGGCTGAAGTTTGCATGTGGGTTTTCAGAGAGAAAAGCAAAACCACACTTAAGCTTTGACCAAAAGGCTCAGAGGACTGTTCGTTTACATTCCAGTTGTCCTTTCCCACACACACACAAACCGTTATTTCCCTCTCCCACAAGAAGCACATGTCCAAAACCACAACAACGAGGGGGCAAGACCAGCACATTCCTGCAAGACCATATGGAGAAAGCAAGTCCATCACACATGCACAAACACCCACACAAGCTCTCTTAGCATTCATGCTACAAACACACAAACATGTGCGCATATAAACGCTGGACTATGTCGGTGTTTAAAATGTTTCAACTATCCTTTAGTTTGCAACTCTTACTTTTAAAAGAATTCAACTTCTCTGGCAAATCCTCTTCATCCCGGTACTTCTGATCTTCCATATACTCCTGCAAACAAGAGAGAGAAAAAGAGAGTTAGCATGATCTCTAACTGGAACAGACTGGGTGGATGAATGATTATCCTCTCTGTTCGGCTGTGCATGGCAGAAGCCCAGAGAGGGCGAGCAAGCATGTGTCAAAATATCTTAGAGTGCTAATTCTCCACCATGTACAGGTGCATCTCAATAAATTAGAATGTCGTGGAAAAGTTAATTTATTTCAGTAATTCAACTCAAATTGTGAAACTCGTGTATTAAATAAATTCAATGCACACAGACTGAAGTGGTTTAAGTCTTTGGTTCTTTTAATTGTGATGATTTTGGCTCACATTTAACAAAAACCCACCAATTCACTATCTCAACAAATTAGAATATGGTGACATGCCAATCAGCTAATCAACTCAAAACACCTGCAAAGGTTTCCTGAGCCTTCAAAATGGTCTCTCAGTTTGGTTCACTAGGCTACACAATCATGGGGAAGACTGCTGATCTGACAGTTGTCCAGATCGTTGGTGCCTCTCTCCCCTCCCTCCAGGACATTTACAACACCCATCTCACACGCAAAGCCCTCTCGCGTTAGTCATTGTTCGGTACATATTATTCGGCAGAACACCGAAAGAGTTTTTTTTTGCTATTTTCAGACAAATAATTTCGGTTGCCGAACATTCGGTGCATCCCTACTATATATTGTTGTGCACAAAAAGAGTCATATGTTTGGGAAGATTTCCCCACATAAATTTTGCACTTTTTAAAGTTGGTAATAGGGCTGCATGATAAATCGAAATCGCGATTAGACAGAAGCTGCGATTGTCATGCGTATCACTCTCGCGTGGAAACTCCAAATACACCCCACAGAAGAAACCCAGGAAATGCCTATAGCGGTAGCTGGATAAACATGAACGATTTCTTCGATTTCATAACTGCGCAATAATATCGTCTGCGATTTTTTTTGCGTAACTTGTCAGTGAACTACGGCTCTGTGTAGTAAATGCTGCTCCATCTGAAAGCACGTGATGATGATTTACTGCTGATTACAGAACCGGCTTTACTAACAAAATGCGCATGACAATCGCATTCGATTAATAGTGCAGCCCTAGTTGGTAACATGAATTTGTCAAATTGACCAACAGAAATCTTCTTGGTTTTAAAGTGATTTATGTGTGAGCTGTGTACTCTATTGACAACAGACAACAGACCTTTTTTGCCCAAGAAATTTTGCTAATGTGACCGCACCTTTAGTGTCAGTCAGAGAATGCAGGATGTTTGCTAGTGTAGCCAGCAATAACAAAACAAAAAGCACTCCCAAAGTCCTCCTGTTATTGAAAATTGCATATTGCATAATTAAATGTCAAACACAACAAAGGCCGGTTAATTCTAACATCCCTGTTAATGATCTATGACAAGACTGCCTAAGGCCCATAAATCAAAGATCCACATGTGTGATATGAGACTTCACTATCAGTGAAGTATTAGAATGTGTGTGTGTATCAGGGAAATCACACACTGTGTGTGGGTGTGTTTGTGAGTGGATTTTAAATATGGTTGGTGGGAGATGCTGCTAACTAAGTGAAGGAATGTGCTGTAAAAGCAAACATCCTGTGTGTGTGGATCTATAGGTGCCTGAGAAGCATAAAGCAACCTTGAACTGTTAATTATGACTCATCATGACGTCTTCTTGTCTCTGCCTCTTTCTCTCTAACCCACACATACTTGGAGAGGGAGTAAAAATAAGATAGATTAGCAAACTGTGGTCAAGTCATGATACGGTTTTAGAATTAGAAAATGAAAACTGCACTGTGAGGATCAGCCCTCTTGAGTCATGCTGAGAGATGAAGAGCCCGAGTACCGCCTTCTACCTCAGTCAAGTCACGACTACACAACATTCCTTCACATCAGAACTCGAAACTATGAGTCAAAATTAAGCTAAAATTGTCTTCAAAATCATTACTCTGAATATATTTGACCATGTTATGTGAAATGCGTTATGCTCTTGAACATTTTATTGACCCTTTTCCTGAGAATCACCTCTACACTATGTGCAGGTAAGCACTGCAGATGACACTACTAGGCCAGTATATGACCGGAGTGATTTTTTCTGAGTGTTCATGTGACCACATCAAGCTGTCACTCCTGCCAGCCACAGTCCACATGAGAGGGGGAACAGCTGCTCAAATGCCACTGCTGCCCACTCCTCAATCTTCTTCCCACATAATGGGTCCATTCATGCCGGATCACAGACACCTGTTTCCCGTCTGAGGGCACAGAGACAGCCGGCTGCGGGGGGATGGGGGGGCACACTGCCTCTTATCACATCAAAGAGGGCTGATCTTAAATATTAGCTTTAAAATAACACTGCTCATGAAAATAAGCCTCTTGGGATTTTCGTAAAAGGTCTGGGTTTGTTTGAAACGCCCAAGATGAGGTCACCTCGTTTACTTAAATGTTAAGCATGTCATTTTTTTTATACTTTGTTTAATATGCTTATTGTAGGCTACCCAGTATGCTGAAAGCATGCTGTGGCGGTAACGAAATTATTGTCTGAGAATCTTGGCCCCGCGAAACACACTAACACTGGCTCAGCCAACGGCGTAAATTTTGGGCGGGGCTATCTGTTTGATCGACCAATGGATGACGGGGAGAGTGTTTGGGGGGAAACCTTGAGCGCTTAACGCGGCGGTGAATGACTCATGCGCGGGATGAACTGGGCTGCGTCTCGAGACCTGGTCAGATGCCTACCGCAATAGTGATTTTAATCATTTTTACAGTTTCGTGCAGCTTTAATAAAAGGAGAAAATCCTGCCACCCTTGGCAGCTCAGCAGGTTTTGAGACACAGCCCTGCTCTGGATTGTGAAATGATCTGGTCGAACTGTCTAACTAAATTAGGTCATGTTGCTGTAAAGTCGAGCTTAACAATTCCGCTGCTGCCCAAAATAACATGTAACAGCTAAGAGACCACAGAGAAGAAGCGAAGTAAATTAAAAAACAAACTAATATTTAGAGACAAAGCGTTTGGGAACATCACAAGGGTGAATGGAGGCGGTTCAAGGCCAATGAAATAATCTCGCCTCCCAATTGAGACAATAATAATCCGACGGCGTTAGTTTATTTACCTTGTTGATTTCCTCCAGCTTCTCCCTCTGCTGTGCTTTGAGTAACCCGAAGGCTTTCCCGCCTGAAAAATGAGACATAGGGACCTTCACGTTACACACCCGTCTGGATGTTTTATCAGGCTGTCTTGGTGCACTTGCAGGCATGAGATAAGGACAGTCGGCCGCTAACGGCACACACGCGCGCACAGAACAAAAACAGGTTCCGTGCGTATAACGCTAGATAAAGCATCGATTCACTCAAAACAGACCGGCGACAAAAGATATACCTTGTAAATCCAGGTTGGAAGGCATGCTGGGGCGGTCGAGCTGGCGGTGTAGGTAGAGAACGGAGAGACAGTGGAGTTGTGTGAGCTCTCGCTCGCGTCGGTAAGGTCTGTGGGAGAGAGGGAATCTCACGCTGTTTACAAGCGCAGGGCTCCCTGTGATGCGCTCTCTGCTCGCCAGGAATACAGCTATAAACGCCACCGTGCGGTGAAGAGAAGTAATGCAGGCTCTAATGACAACGGGGAAACTCCGTCTGCCAGCCAATGTCCTTTCATTATGCATATATACAACGTATAAAGCTATTTGTAATTTTATTAGCCATATATACGCCTATAAAATGCCTTCAGCATTCCAGCCGTGCTCAGCTCCACTATGTAGTAACTGTTATAGCACTTTTTATTTAGTCAGTTTTGCACATATATTGTATTGCACAGCTGTTTTTTTCACGTTCACTCCTATCTTATCTTTCTCTTCGTTTAATTTTTAACTTATTTAAAACTTATCTTCCTGTAATTACTGCTGCATGCTTCATTTAGTTTTGCACATTTCATATTGTATTTCACAGTGCATACCGATTTGTGCAGCTGACAGCTGTGAAAATTGCACTTTTTTAACCTTTTCGCTCTTATTAGAATACATATTTATAGTTTTTTTTCTTTTCTTATCTTATCGTTCATCACATTTAATTTTTATCTCAGCTTATATCTATTTTTATGTCTACTTTGGATCTGCAAGTCAGAAGAATTTAATTTCCTGCAATTACTGTTGTGCAGTTGATAAAGTTTTACTTGATGTGTGTGGGTTTCATTAGAGACAGAGGGTTTAATAGGGTTGCTTCCAATGATTTGCCTTTGATTCTACAGCATTTGTTTTAATAGCGGTTCTCAACAGCTTTAAGTAGCCTATTATATTTTGTGTTAAAAACATTTTTTTATCCTATATAGCAGGGATCCTCAAATCTGGCCCACAGGATCCACTTTCCTGCACAGTTTAGCTCTAACCCTAATCAAACACACCTGAGCATGCGCACAGTGTTTATTTGGTCTTGATTTACTGACTTCTAAAAAATGTTCAGTTTCAAACTCGTGTGCAGGACATTGTGTACAACAACCAGATTAATTTGAGTAGATGGCACCCCCAAGTGGCCAAAAAGAGACCATATCTTGTTAGGAACTCCCATTAGTTAAGGTTAATGAATGGGAAAATTGCATTTACATTGCAAACGAACTTCATAATGTCAGTCTGCAAAACATCAATATTCAAGCATAATGTAAATGTGATCATCTCTGGAAGTCCAGTCACACTGACATTTTGCTTGAATACTGATGATTTCAATTCAAAGTGCTACAGTGTATAAATGCCATCACCTGCATTTTGACTCTTTACCAATAGAGTAAATAAGTAAAGCCACTCTGTATTCACAACAAATTAATGTTTATAGAGAATTTACATTTTAATGTGTCATTTATATGTTCAGTATTGCTTTGTAACAAGACACAGTTGAAAGAGGAATTGAGAGGGAGAGGGGGATTTCAGAGGTTTGTTCCCTTTTTTTTTTTAGCTTCCCTTGATTCAGATTCTCTGAGGTGACTAACTCCTTTGAGCTACCTCAATGTCTCTCCAAAAGACTAGACAACTGATAGACTTCTTCCTCCCCCCGGCTCAGTGCCCTTTTTGTGGGCATGTTTTAGGCAAGTTCTGGGTGATGTCTGTCAGACTGTCTCTTTCTTCTCGTATCTCCTGCAGGCTCTGTTCAAGATTTTGCAGCTGTTTCTCTTGATCTTGCGCAGCACTGTGGAGCCTCTGAATCTTTCCAGTGAGAGATGGACTCTCCACAGCACCCTGGAGAACACGAAGACGGGCTGCCGTCTCATTCAGGATGCGATCATAGTTCTCCAGCACCGCATGAGCATCTGCTCACATCAATGGGAGAAGAGTATGATTTTGAGATTATTGTTGAAAGGAATACTTTTGTCCCCCAAAAAAATGAAATAAAAAAATAAGCAAAGCACAAAACAAAACATCCATTCTCCAAACTGCTTGTCCTATGTAGGGTTGTAGAGATAAAGCACACTGAAAACAAAATAATACAAAGCAATAAACAACTAAACTAAACTAAACAAAAAAAAAATTAAAATCATGAATTCACCCAAGGAGCAGAGATAGCATGCTTGTAAAGGACTCCAGCTGACTCTTGGCAGTCTCCATGCTGTCTATCACACTCTTTGAAGAAAGCTGGATGTCCTGAGGAGAAATAGCAAATCAGCATCATGGCTATGAAAAACAACCTCCTCGGTCACCTAATCTGGACTTTACAGATAAGTATTGTCTGGGATAAATAAAGGATTGATTTAGTCAATGTGGAAGAACTTGACTGGTCTGCATACATGACTTGTACATACATATGGACAAACGTATTGGGACACCCCCTTCTTCAGAACAGAAAAAGGCACTTCCAAAACTGTGGCAACAAAGATGGAAACATAATTCATGTATTTAAAAATTGTATTTCCAGTTTTGGAAGTGTCTAAAATGATTGTACCCATATGTACAAGTCATTGGAGTTTTTGGCTCAAGGTCTGCATTTAGTCACACCAGAGGTGTTCAGCTGGGATTAGGACTTGGTTTTATGCAGACCAGTCAAGTTCTTCCACACTGACTGAATCAATGTTTTTTTTTTAACCTTGCCTTATACACAGAGGCATTGTTGTGTTAGAATAGAAAAGGGTCCTGTTCAAACTATTGGTATAAAATTAGAAGCACACAATTCCCTAGAATATCATTATTGTTTATTGCTAAGTTTAGTGTGTCAAAATAGAAGTGCAGCCGTAATTCGCGTGCAGTGTATCTGGTTATGCTCTATGTAATCAGAGTGTGAATTTGTAGATTTTCTATAGCAAAACTAAAATGTGTTTAAAAGTGCGACTGACCAAATCCTCCGGCTAGGTTTGCCCCCCCTCGAACTCGAAGACATCTTTAATTTGACAGTTTACTATCTGATCTCACTCAGTGACTCTAGGTTACGCAGGACGGGACGAAACCATGCAGTGAATGGGGGGGAGATAATTTTTTCGGAAATGCAGAAATAAGCCATTTTGTTTTATTTGTAATTCTTTGGTAGATACATTTATAATTTCTATTAAATTACTACTACTACTGTTACTACTAATAAAACAGATCTCTGGGGGCCCCAAAAGTGTGTGGGCCCTTAGAATCGTCCTAACTTTCCCCCCCTTAGCA